CACTCCTGGCCACCAAAGGCCACATGCAAACCCAGGAGCAGGTTTGCATGAAAATCATGTTGGTTCAGCGAGACCCCCCCCAACCCTGAGCTTCCCCTCTCCTTTCTTTCGCTTGCTTCCCCCTCCCCTCTCCTCTCTCCCACCTCCTTTCCCCAGTCTCAACAGAGTTTCATCCCCCCCCGTTTTGTTAAATAAAGAGAGTGTGTGTTCATGAAAATACATGTATTTTATTTTACATCAGGAATGGGAGTTAGGGAGGGGTAAGTGGAAGGATGTGAGGAAGGAATGAGGCACAAGCCCCCAGTGGGGCAGACTAGGGAGGCTCTTAGTGCTCTTCAGGGTGGAAGCTCTCCTGCAGGGCCTCCTGGATACTGACAGCCCCCCGATGGACCTCCCGAATGGCATCGTGCAGAAAGTGCAGCCAGGCTCTCAGCAATGCGTCCAAGAGAAGCACCAGAGTGCCCAGGGGCGGCTCCGGCTCCATGTTGCAGAGTAATGTGGTGTCCCGAGTGAGGGCAACCAGAGCACACAGACAAAATGCTTTGCTGTCCCTCATCAAGATAGGCAAGCAAGCAGGAAAAACTGAGACCGGCTGTCCGGGGAGGATCCCTTTAAGCACAGGCCTCAGACAGTCTCAGGCAGCAGCCACACAAAGTAACTCCTGACCTGATGCCCTGCCGGACCTGGTTCCGGCTGGCCTTAAATGCTATTCAGCGTCCTCTCAGTATGGACGCGCTATTTTGAAATAGCAAAACGCTATTTCAAAATGCATTGTGTGTGTAGACGCGTTATTTCGAAATAACATATTTCATATTAACTATTTCGAAATAAGATATTTCAAAATAATGCTGTAGTGTAGACATACCCTTTGTCAGTGTGCACAGTTTGTGCACAATGGCTACATGGAAATGCCTTATAGAAATGCCATGGCTTTTTTGTATCATGGATTCAGGACATGAATTTCTTGGTTCACACTAAATTCCAGAGACTACTTCACTGCAGTTTCTATTGCAACTGATACTTCAACAGCCTTCTTGAATGTAAGCACTGATACACTCAGTAACAATCAGGGCATCATCTAATGTTTATTCCAAACTGTTGATGCTTGAGCAACTTCTTTAGAGCAACAACAATGTATGTTACCAACTCTCTACTTCAATGATAGCAGAACATTATTGGTTCCATCAGAGGTAAGGTAGAAGATAAATGATGTGGATGTAGCTGTTCTGAGCACAGTTGGACACAACAGGTCACACAGCTGTCCATATGCTTTCAGACCCATTAGTGTCAGCAAGATTGAAACTCATCCATTTAGAAAGATGCTGCAGGTTACAAATGTTTGAGATAACTGCAAATCATGAATGATGTTGTCACCAAATTCACCAGCAATACCCATCAAAGTTGCCATTTCTTTGCTCTCCTTTTGGCCTTCATTCTCCTGAATACCTTCTGTTCTAAAGTAAAACTCTTTGTTAGTGCCTTATCTGCACCCTGCAGCATTCTTCCTTTGTCTGTTCTTGGGCTCCCTCTTTAGGCTAAGCTGCTTGCCTGCTACTTGTATGTGGTCAATGGCTGTTTGCTTTCCCCTCGCTTCCTTTGCAGGAGTTCCTTTTTTCTGCTTTTAAAATGCTAATTTCCCCTCTCTAGCTAGGTGGTTCACACTGTCCTAACAGCAAAAACAGCAGTCTGCCACCTTGAGCCTCTAAATGAACTTCTCCCCTTTTTCACGGTATTTGCTTAATGTTCCTTCTTCAGGCAAAAACAGCAGTAGACATTTGTAGGCTAGAAATCCTGCATCTCCAAATGTGATTTTTGAACCCAGCAAAGAAAGGGGTTGTATTAGAAATGTAGGTGTTACCATAGTCCCTCTATTATTTAGGCTGCAAAACTGAAAACAGCAGGAAATTGAGGCTTCATACTGGGGAGTGTGCTCAAACATTAAAAGGGGAAGGACATCATCACAGATGATTTTTAATTGGTTTAGTTTATTTAGTTAAGGAACCACATTTAATTCAATTCAAGAGTGTCTACATGGTGGTTTTGCACAGATTAAAATAAATCAGTTTTTAACACACATTTTACTTAAACCAGTGCAACTTTGTGTTTAACAGAAGGCCACAAGCTACTGAAAATCTGGTTGTTCCTCCCACACACTGAGGTTAGCAGGCTTTAGTGCAAGTGATGACTATGAAATGACTAAAAACGGAATTAATACCAACTATTTTCGCTATCTAAGCAGAGAGGTTTTTTTAAATAAGGAAACAGATAATGAAAAGAAAATTAGGTCATTAGAGAGAACTATTTAGATTTTAACATTAATTAAAAAGTTATTTTTAGATTAATTCCCTGTCTAAAATCCTGTAACATCAACACATTAATACCAAGGATTTGACTCATTCTTAGTATTGGTATTCCATTAAAGTAACCTACTAACTTTTTTTCTTAGGTGGTGGGGAAAAAAAAATGTATGCTCTTTTTGCTTCACTATATATAATGGTCCAAAACAGGGGTTTCCCAACCACCGGGCTGCAGACTGCTGGCTGCCAGTTAACAGCGATTTTGGGGCTGGGGCCAGAGGAGCTGTGTGGCAGATGGCCACTCCAGTGGCCAGAACTAGAGGAGCCATGTGGCAACCAGGACCAGAGGAGCTGCATGGCGAGCAGCAGGCAGCTGCTCTGGCAGGCAGGGCCGAGGCTGCTCTGTCCCAAAGCCTTCAGGGAAGGCGAGCTCTCCCCACAATCAGGGCAAGCAGGCAATGATGGTGCTGTTGGAATTTTCCCCACATCCATGCGAGTTAATTCATTCCAGTAAATCATCCAAAATAAATTGTAGCAAATATCAATTTTCTGTGTGAACTAGGGATGTTAAAGACTAGTTGACTATCCGATAGTCGACAAGCTTGTCGATTAGTCGCTCCCCCCTTTCCTGCCTCGATCAGAAAGAGGCAGCAAGGGATGGGGGAACAGGAGGGGATACTTCAAAGCAGCAGCACCACGAGCTCCTCGCATTGCTGCCACTTTGAAATGCCACCGCGGGAGCTCAGCATCAGGCTCCTCCCTGCATCTCAAAGCAGCAGTGCCACGTGGAGTCCAGCTGACCCCAGGCTCCATGTAGTGCTTTTGCCTTTAAAGTGTATCAACAGCCCTAGGGCTGTTTCTACACTTCAAAGGCAGAAACGCCCTATCAACTAGTCAAATCGTCAATGCAAAATGAATTGACTATTCAATTAATCAATTACCCGCAATTTAACATCCCTAGTTGGAAGCTTGGGGTTGTGGCTATCCCAGGCCAAGGGAGGGTGTGCCTCCAGCCAGCCCCTTTGATTCTGTATGATTTTATGAGAAGCAATCCTACTCCAGGCACATCCCATTTTTTGGCACAACCAAACCCTTACCTTGCTTTAAGTTATGATAAGAGGAAGCTGTATATGGAATTTGATGGTCCTAGCTCTATTTTGTAGGAGCTCTTGAACAAACAGACAAACTCTCTCAAAAATAATGGATTAGAAGTTTAGCTCTTCTCAGGCCTTTTTCTGAAAGACTATGGACACTTTTTTCTTCCTCTGCACGTCAATTATGACATCTTCTCCTTTATTTGTGAAGCAATAGTGACATCTAGTGGATATTTGTCATCTGAAGAAGTGGGTTGTGCCCATGAAAGCTCATGATACTATTTATATTTTTTGTTAGTCTCTAGGGGCATGTCTACACTAAGAAATTATTTTAAAATGAGTTAGTTCAAGATAACTCAAAATAAATATTTCAAAATAAACTTATTCCCCAAAGAAAGCAGGAGTTATTTTGAAATAACCAGCCTCTTACTTTAAAATAACGAGCTTGATAGTGAGGATGCTCTTCTTGTTATTTTGAAATAATTCCCTAGTGTAGATTAGGACTAAGGCACTACAGAACCACTCATTTAAGCTTTTTATCTGGTGAATGCTTAATCTTGATTTAAATTCTCCTACATATAGGCCCCGTTTCAATGAAGTATGTGAGTAATCCCATGGGATTTAAACTTGCACTTTGTTGAATTGGGGCCTGACTAGAAAAAGCTTAGATCACATTTCTTTCTTAAAGGTGGCCTATATTATTCCTTATCAATAGTTTACTATTTAAATATGGGGCAGTAAAATAAAAGTAATTTTAGATCTTCCTCTGTGGATGTATCCCAGCCTCATTTCCAATGGTAAAAGCTAATTTCATTAACTCCATAGTAAGTGTTCCAAGCCTCAAATTCAGGGAAGGTGTGATCCAGTGACAATCTTGTCTCAATGCAAGAGGATGAGATAGAGAAGGCCTCTAATTCAATCAACTGAATTCTCCAGTGAGTCCAATTCCAGACATACCCTTCATATACTCAAGTATCAGAGGGGCAGCTGTGTTAGTCTGAATCTGCAAAAGCGGCAAGGAGTCCTGTGGCACCTTATAGACTAACACGGCTACCCCTCTGATACTTGACACCATGCAAGGCACTGCATTTAGCCATATGGAGTGGAATTCTATCAACCACACTTCAGTTAGTCTATAAGGTGCCACAGGATTCCTCACCGCTCCTTCATATACTGAATCTCTGGAAGCAAGGTTGAAAACTAGTATCCATTAATCAAACTAATTCCAGAGATTGTTTTAATATAAATATTTCTTTGGTAAATGGGAGATTGTATGTATTTGAACAACACATGCACAGAATAGCTTATAGAACAATGCAGTTATGCATGAACAGAAACTCTGATTTGTTAAGAGTGGGAGAAAGACAAAGTGATAGGGCACTAAGTGATATAACCAATCCGAGAATCCAGTGAGATAGTGTCTACCTCTGTGCTCCCTAGAAGATCTTCAGGCCCCTCCCGATATGCATTTAAGTATCCATCCACCAAGTTTGTTAAGTCAGACATCATTTCATCCAGTAGCAACAAGCGGAGAGGTAGAAGGTAAGTGGTTTCCAGAGCCAACACTTTCAGCAGTGAAGTTGGAAGAGGTCTCACAAACCATATATCAGGGTTCTCCTGCATGTCCCAAATATAAATGAAAAGGAATAATGATTATCTACTTTACATAACAGTTGTTCTTTGTCACATTTCTCATGTCCAT